AGTCTGCAATGTTGTGTCTGTTGTTGTGAGAGGTGGCTGACTGTCACCGTGCCAGAATGTGCTATTAATTAGAGGGGCTCTTAAAGCGGGCAGCAGGCCAGCCTTGGCTTGTTGTGTGTTTCCGCTGCTCCATATCTAAGCTGTATGATGTTATTTGGTTTGCTTTGGTTTTATGTGTTCTTAGGAACATTGACAGTTTTTTAATTGATAGGAGTGTAACCAAAAGCAATCAGTTACTCTTTATGAATTCTACAGGACTCAATGTTCCCACCCATCCAGAGATGAACCTCATTTTCTCCTCTAATAGATCAGCACATGTTCTTGTGAACAAGCAGAGTAGCAGTGTTTGATTACAATCCGCGTTTCCGCCAGGGGGGCGACTTGCCGTCATTTGACGCCCTTATTCAGCTCGGAACGCCTGAACTCGAGCCGAGGGCGTCCAAAAAAATAAATAATTCGAGAGAAGGTCGAGTTTTTATCGCTTGAAATGACGAAAAGCAAAAAGGACATCCCTCTGTTGGAGGGGCAAAGGAGTCTGGTGGGATTCTTTTCGCTGCCAGCAAAGCGTGTTCCTCTGACGGAAAGTGTACTGCCGGCGAGCCTTGACGGGGGGTGCTAGTGGAGCACGCGCGTGAACTGCGAGCGCCGGAGCCTCGCAGCGGCGAAACTGAGGCTCCGTGGTAAACTGTGGTAACACGAAGAGCCGTTTAGGAGCCAAATGATCCGGCTCACTAAAAAGAGCCGGAATTCCCATCACTAATACGTAAAGAGAGAGTATCTATAAGGGACGGCTCAATTCAAAATTCAAGTCACGTGACACGACGTGACATCACACAACCCCCCTCCCCCCCAGCTCTCGGGGTGCACGCCCTCTCAGCCCTGGTCTGGCGGAAACACTGATTACAATTCAAACCGGATTTCATTTGAGTTAAGAAGGTATTATTCAAAATGTGTTTTTATCTTTTTCTCATCAAGGCGTTCCTCTTGGTCAGTTCCTTTGTGAACAAAAACAAGCATAAGGAAATCTTAAGTAAAGATGAAAACAATGAATGATGGTTTTCATTTTCTACAACCGTGTCATTTCCATGTGCCTTCCTCATTTCTACTGTTAATTGTAAAAAGAAAACTTTGAAAGAAGTCAAACCCTTCAGCCCTCCAACTGTGTTTTTCCCGGGACTGTAACTCAGAGCGACCCCTGGGTCATTTACGCTCGGATGATTTGTCCCCTTGAACTGATCAATGGACTCTGTCACGGCCCTGAAACAAATCGATCGGCCTGCCACTGCAAATGGCCGTGGCTTCTCAATGACTGTAGCTTGACTCGCACTCCGTATGCGGAACAACAGCCACCGGTGGACAGTGATGAAGTGTAAAGGGGAGGGGCTTCCCGTTAACCTGTTCCTCTTTCTGTGAAGGTATCTGGCGCTGGCGGAGTCCCTGCCAACATACGGAGTCCATTACTACCAAGTGAAGGTAACAGTGCTGCCCCCAGTCATAAAGCAGCTTAACCTCTTGAACAAGCTTCTGTCAACATGCTGGCTTCATTTGTTCTCTGCATTTCATCTTGCCTTATTAGGGCTGCACAATGAATCAATTGTTTTGGTTTTATGGACTATTGCAATAGCCAAATTGCTGCAACCTCAGTATTTGGATAAGGCTAGATATGTGAAAAGTGTGGCCTGGCCTACAAACAGTATTATACAGACTGATACAAAAAAATCACACTATAATCAATTCGATATGTTTCTATGGTGATGTGAATAATGCTTCAAAAATGATCATTTCATTCAATAACGCAAATCATATCGCATTTGCAATGTCACTCAAAATAATCCTAATTAGATTCTTTAACCAAATCGACAGCCCTATAACACATACGTTCACCCTTTATTCAGTGAAAGCAGCTACACATGCATGAAAGACTCCACATAATTACGTTAAGTTTAGCGATAACTCCCTTCTACATGCATCCACTCACTTTCCCAACCAAACCTCGTTAGATCAAGGCGTCTGGGGAGATCAGACGGTGGCGTTAAAAACACTCAGTCAGGCTTGCAGGGGCTTTTTAAGGCTTGGATGTATTTGATCTCCTCTTGTGTTGCTGTTGCTGAGAGCCTAATGGGGTAATTGCTTTAGTAACAGCCCTTTTTCAAACCCCCTCACCAATAAAGCTACCTCTAATGAGTGGTGTGTGTGCATGTGCTTTCTTGCAGGACAAGCAAGGATTACCGTGGTGGCTGGGCGTCAGCTACAAAGGCATCGGACAGTACGACCTGCAGGATAAACTCAAGCCAAGAAAGGTAGGAGCAACTCTTTTTTACATCTGTTGTATTTACTGTCTTTTATTTTCTTTGTTTTATATGTTTGTTTGTGTAGAGTTGTATTTTTTTGAAATCTTTTTTTGGTTTGTTATGAGCCAAAAACATAATATTTCAAACCTATTTGCTTTAAACTTCTCTTGGAAGTATGTACACTTAAGCGAGACTGTGACTGCACTTGAATGGCTGGTTGAAAACAGAGCTTTCATCTCCTCTTGTTAGCTGGTTAATGATCCACACACACTGTAAATAGGTGTAATTAAGACCCTGGTTCCCATGTCAGTCAGTCAGTCAGTCAGTCAGGAGGAAGACAGATGGGGAAAACATTTTGGAGTATCAGTACGTGCTGCTCAGTCAAGGCTGTAGGTGTAAGAGCAAACACAGAACAACTAGTAACAGTGGAGTGAATTGTCAAAGGGATAAAAATCGACTCAACGTGCAAAGTTTAAAGGGGAAAATGTGCAAATAGCAACACTCTGGATTAAATAGCATACAAGTTCCCTTTTTGATTATAAAAGCTTATCATTGGCTAGTCAGTGTTGCAAGTAAATTAAAACCCCCCTTCTTGCCAGTTAGTTTGTAAACGCCACCTCTCCCATTTATTACTGAAGAGATACAATAATTAAGTGTAAAAAATGGTTCACTTTTTAGCATGACTTTCCCTTTTGACATCAATTCAGGAATCAATAAAAGAAGAATCACACAACTGTTCTAACTGTATGCCTGCTTGGTTGATGCCTACTTAAATGAAATACTCTCAGTACAGAAATGTCCTGCTCCTGTACTGTGATGTTTGAGTTAGCACTTGTCGTGTCTGTGTTTGTTTGAGATGCGTTGTGTGATAGTGTCCCAACCAAGCGTTTCTCCCCGGCCTCTTTCATTACACGGAGCTGTTGTTGTACGGCAGGAACGTGTTGACATAGCAGGGTGTGCTGTTACTCCGAGGCATTAACGGGCACAGCCACAGTATGTCTCTCCAGACCCTCCCTGTGGAAGGTGTAATTATGGTTTCTCTGGGGGGGGAAAGCAGCATGCCCCTGGGACTCGGGTTGGCACTCTGCCATGCTGGTGGGTGGGCATTTGGAGGGTCTTGGGGTGCTAAAAGCATTTCAAACTAGTCTCTGAGCCCTCCAACCTCCTCACATTCAGAGGGGACAGTCATAGAGATGAGTTGGCTGTTTTGGAGCAAACTTTTTGCCTTCTGAGTTTTTTTTATTTATAGAAATGTATAGCTACTCTACTTTTGCCTTTTAGGGAGTCCTCTGTATTTAATGTTGATGGGGCTTCCTGCCTCAGTTCACAGCCCCTTTATTCACCCCGGCTCACCCCTCCCTGCCCTCTGCCCATCCCCTTTCAGCAGGCTGTATTCTTTATGCTAATCCATGTGTGTGTCTCGGAGGGAATACAATTGATCAAACAATACAGAACAATTATCTGCGTAGGCGGCTGGGGGCTGGATTTAGAGCTGGTCCCGGGGAGAGCTCAGTACTTGTGTAGTTAATAGAAAAGTACTTCAAGTGATGTTAAGTTTTGTCAAAATGATTGAAAGCCACTCGAATAGCTTAACCTCCCAGTATCTTCTCTGCACGCATGCCATCAGTCTATCTTGAACATAGAGCTGCACCATTTTGAACTGGGGTGGTTTGGAAGAAGGTCTGCCCCAAACTAATGTGTTTTGTAAGGTCAGTAGAATATCATTTGTGAGCTCGGACATTTCTGCAGTTCTTGCTATTTGAAAACAGAGTTTGCCTTAATCGGTATATTGTGCTTTCTGGGATTGGGATAATATATACTAATCCATACTGAGATTTTGATCCTATTTGAATTAGGGCTGCACGATTTTGGGAAAAAATCTAATTGCGATTTTTCTGACAAATATTGCGATTTGCGATATTTGTTTTTAAGCGACCCAACGTAAGTTTATTGTAAAATGCGGCTATAACTCCGGCTAGGAAGGTCGTATCAACGTGCTCCCGTCTCTAGCACCCCCGCAGCCCGAGCTACGAGTGAAATAACTAAACTTACATGAAACTTCCGTTGGGCTGCTTTAAAGTCAAGCTTCAGTTTAAGATTCACCCTGTAATAGAAACATGTGATGGAGCATTACTAACCTGACTCAGATGGTTTGATTCACCAAACTATCTAGGAAAGCTCCATTGGAAGCCGTTTGGAAAGGGCAGGCACTTTAAAAATCTGTCACAATCTGTCTATCACCTTCTATCATGTTCCAATTCTGAGTGGTTACCAATGGCTGGTACATGTGGAGCACAGCACTTCTGATTGGTGTGGATGACTGACACACAAGAAGAAAAAAAAAAAATGAATATCATGTAGATGTAAGTAAGCACTGTCTACTCTACTGTACTAGGCGTAGCTTGTGTCTTCCAAAATAGGACAAAGAATGCATAAAAGATGCCGGTCTGTCACGTAGGTGGAGGAAACATTCATTTGATGTGATGAACACAACAGTGCTTCAATGTCTCCAGGACACACTGTGGGAATGAAGCAGATGGCAAGTCAAGACTCAATTCTCCCTGAATTAAAGCCGGAGACTTTTCTGTCTCTCCTCCTCTCTGGGTGACACTCTCCCAGTGGGTAATGGGACACCCTCCAAGACCACATGCTGCTCCTCACATATAATCAGCCAGCAGAACCCAAATGAACCTTCAGTGTGTTACGAGGGACAGTGTCAGCCTCTGGGTAATAATGACATGGGAGCTAAAGAGCTGAAATAAAAATCCTTTCCACTTTTGTTTCACTCATCCCATCCTGACAAATATTCTTCCGCTCTCTTTTCCCATCTAAATCAACGTGTTGTGCAACGTACAGTGTTGCGGGAATGTGACGTGTTACATGGAGGGTGTGGCAGATCTTTTTCTGTATGAGCGTGTGAGTCAGAGCCTTTGACATATTTATCCGTGTATGATTTTGCGGACTCGTGGTCCTGGGGTTCCTCGGATAGTGGGTGTGAGGCTGGATCTGAACAGCCGGATCCCATCGGAAACCACAGGCATGTTTGGCTCTCTCATGAGCGTGCTAGTGAGCTGGCGTTCTCCTGCTTTAGGAACGTTTTGTTGCTTTGGTTTTCTCTACCTATGACTTGTGCTGATGAGTCACTTTTTTTACGTAGTCCAACTTTCTTGGAGCGTTTCCACTTTTAAAAACCTACTTTCAGGTTGACAACCCCATTAAATCAGTATGTAAGAATATTACTTAGTTACTTCCTTTTGGAGAAAAATGAAATACTACTGTGCTCTACGGTTGTGTTTTTTTATACGAGTTATATAGTGTGAAATATTAAAGAAGGTACTTTACACTTACACATGTTTTTGAAGCTTCATTAAAGTGTTAACTGTACTGTGATAAAACAAGCTGGTGTTAATAAACAGATTTTTTAATTAGATCGCCATTTCATAGGTTGAACATGGCTCGGCAAATCAGCCCTGCACCTCGCAAGGCCAATTCTGAGACAGACACCAGATGATATTTATATTCAAAGTTAAGTTTTTACAATAAAAAAGAGTGTTATTCACCACGTATTATCTAAATCACACATTCAACCCAACCCCCCCTCCAGCCCCTTGCCCACAAGAGAGATGATGCAGTAGGTGGAGTTACCCTCAGACCTATGGTACATTTGCAATTAAAACCCCAATAAAAAAGGTTCCTAAAGCAAGTTCTGACCCTAAACTGGTAATAAATGGTGGTTCATGCACAGATGAAGGTCACAGCTGTGAGCCTACAAAGCATCCAAGAGAGCAGGAACTAAGAGAGTAGAATATACGACCTGTGACAGTAGAGATAAAGGTGTGTCACAGCCCTTTAAATATGTTGGCCATGGCTTCGGCCGCAGGCTTTTAGTTTCATCTTGTTACTGGCACACCGGTGTGGAGTAGCTCTAATAGGGGGAATGATCCTGTTCATTGTGTAGACCTTTGTTTCAGATCGGTTGTTATGATGCTAATGATGGTGACTAGAGAGTGTGAATTGGTGTGAGCTCTCATCTGCAGTTGGAAGTTGCATGCAAGGCGGTACCCGTGCTTCTTTTTGCATGTAGAGCCCACCGTAATAAAGACAAGAAATCAAATGATCGCTATAGAATGGGGTTCATTGCAGAGAAGGGTTACACACACACGAGGAATTAGCTTCTTTTTTATTTGAATAGTGCATACATAGACACACAAAGGGGGATACGTTGGAGAAAAGGAGCAAATAACAGAACATTATAACAACAAAAAGACTATTATAACAAATTGGAAATAAAGAGAATATTTACACAAAATATAAACACACAAAACTAATTACAGTAAAAATATGACAAATACTAAATGGATAATAGCAGTATAAGTCAGAGGTAACACTACATCATCCAGTGTTTCCCATACATTGATTTACTTGTGGAGGGCCTCCACAAGTAAATATCGTCCGCCACAAATGGATCTCATAAAAAANNNGGCGCCTGGGTGGAGGCACTGTGGCGGGAGCCTGAGATTCCACAGTGCCAGTGCGGAGAACATGCAAACTGTGTTGTTGCCGGTTTGGAACGCATTGCCAAAAGTGTGGAGGTGGCTGATTGCCTTTCATGGTTGCCGCACATCGCCAACCTTGGGGAGGAAGTAGGATAAATGGACGGAGCGGATCAGCATGAGTGACTGACTCCGCCACTGACAGCATGATCACACAAATCTACACCACACACCACACCAAACATTTCCTGCTCTCTTCATAAAAAGGAACCCATGCCATGTTATTATTTATTTTACATTTGTTAATTATGGGGTACTGATTATGTAAGAGGTGGTTAACCTGTTTATGTTTGGGGGTCCGGATTGTTATGTTGAAATTTGGTTTTGAGCTAATTGTGTCCACCTGTTGACGGGTTAAGCCTGTGGGAGGGGCTAGTGGCTCAAAGGGACAGGGTTGGCCCTGGAGAAGGGTCACTCGGAAGAATGTTGCATGAAGCAATCAGCTGGGACCGTGTTCGGGAGATTGTGCAGAGAAGCAACACCTGAGCATGTTTACTCCTGAATGAGTGATGGACGGTTTGATTTGGACGGTTATTTTTTTTGTTTTAAGTTTGCTGTTCCCGCTATATATTTTTTGGTTGCTGTATAATAAAAAGTTTTGGACCTTTAACCCAACCGACTAGGCCAGTGTTTTTTGAACAGACAAATAGAGCCCCGTCCACAGCTGCTAATGGTAGCCACCAGAGGTTATGCGCAGCTTCCGGTTTTTCTACGCGACTCAATTTGGTAACCTGTGTGTGTATGTGAAAACCATTCCTCGATTCCATTGGCTCACGGTGTAGAAAAGATGTCCCAATCAGTAAAATCGACCAAGGGGGGCCAGAGATATGGAAAATCCACCAAATGACCAGAAGTGTTTTTTTTTTGCTAAACTCTCTAAAAAGGTCAAATGTCACTTGTTTTGCATCAATCTTTGATACAGGGTAAGCTTATATGTTTTGTACTTTGGATTCCTAAAGCTTTTAGTATACCTTACCATCATCCAAGGGTATGTTTTCACTATAAGTACAAAATAATTTTGCGGACACGATAATTACAGTTTTTTACTATGTTCAATCTGAATTTTCTTTAAAATAAAAAACATCTATATGATTCTGTACTCTTCTACATGCAACGTCACAGGTTTATCATTACTTTGAGAAAAATATAGGTAATTTAGAATAGAATATCTTTATTGTCATTCACCCATCAGTGTAAACGAAATTCAGTTGGCATCTCTCACTGCAGTACATAATAAGAACACATCCATAAAAGCAGTGATAAAGCAGAGACAGTAGCAATAATCAGGTCATCACTTAAATGCACCTTACCAGAATGTTAAAATATCATTTTTTAAAGATTAATGTTAAATAAAGGAAAACTACAATTCTTTAAATATAAAATAGTTACTAAAAATATCAGTTTGATACTTAATAAATATACAAAATAAATAACATATGGTATTCTTTAGGCCTGCAGTCTTGATGGGAAGGTAGTAGTGTTTGTATGTGTGCATGTTCAAGTTATAGGAGTTTTGTGGTTGACAGGGATGGGAGTATGGAGGCCACAGCTCTGGGAAAGAAGCTGTTCCCTTGCAGTCTGTTGGTGCGGGATTTTATTGACCTGAACCGTCTGGCCCGGACGGCAGCTGTCCCGACACAGTGAGTGCCGGGGTGGTGATGTCTCTGATGATACTGCTGGCTTCTTCATGTAGTCGACTTTTGTAGATGTTGTCAGGTTGGGGCAGCTCAGTCCCAATGATGCGCCCGAGCCAGCTTCACCAACCGTTGCAGGTCCTTCCGCTCTGCGGTGTGCAGCTGGTGTACCCACACAGTTTATGTCAGCTGGTCCCGGTGCTTTCAATAGTCGACCGATGCAAGTTTTTTGTGGAAGCCTGGCCTGTCTCAGTCTCTCAGAAAAAAGAGTGTGGAAGAGCATGGACTAAGCACACAAACCTGGTGGGGTTCCTGTGTTACTATAGGGGGGGGGGGATGATAGGTGCTTACCCGACTCTGACTTTGGCTGTGGTCTATCCAGTCAAAGTGAAGAAGTGCAAAAGTGAAAAGAGCCAAAGCCAAGAATATTCAGTTTGCTGACCAGTTTGGGGGGCATGACGGTGTTTGAAATGCGGAGCTGATGTGTCAGAGAGGTGTGGAGGGCCTGAGTTGATGGCGTCTTCTGTGGAGCGCTTTGGCCTGTAAGGCAAACTGGATGCTTGTCAAGGTCAGGTGGGATGATTGTTTCTGATATGGGAAGCACCAGTTTCTCAAAACACTTCAATGACTATTGGGTGTAGAGCGCGACTGGGCGATAGTCATTTTTTTTAGGCACTTCACAGATGTCCTTTTTAGGCCACTGGGATGAATGGTTGAGGATTTGAGGCAATGGTTGGACAGTACTTGTTTGTAATGGGGTTGCAATATATCAGAAACGCCTCTGTTCCAGTTGGTCCAACACTACCCTTCAGTACCGCGGCCCGGCACTCCGTCTGGGCCTGGCCAACTTTGGCTTGGGTCTGATTTTCACTCAGAGTGGTTCCTCACATGAGTGGTGCTGTAGAAACCACGTGTCTCCTCAGCAGGTGGGTGGTGAGGGAGCAGATTCCCCTCCCGGGGTGTCAAAGCGGGCGAAAAACCTCTGAGTTCCAGGCTTACATCAGGTAGAGTTTCTGCCAGACATGAATGCTGCATCGCTCTCCTTAAGCAGATGACTTCCACATTGCCTAGTAAGTCCATGGCTTTTGATTTGGAAACAGCTTGTAAATGTCCTCTGAGTTAAAACATTTGCCCTGTGCAGAAGTTGATGTATCCTAGTACTGTCTCAGTGTATTCCCCCAAGATCCGACCCTTTCAGCAAACAAATCCCAGTCTGTGTGTTCAAAACAGTCTTGCAGCATTGAGGTGGCTTCCTCAGACCATACTTGTACTGTCCTGATAGCTGGTTTTGTTTTGCAGATCCGTGGTTTGTAAGCTGGAGTCAGAATGAGTGAAATGTGGTCAGATTGTCGATTGTAGATGTGGGGATGCTGTTGCTTTAAATGCCCCTGGGATGTTTGTGTAGACCTGGTCCAGGACGTTGTTTTCTCTTGTTGGGAAGTTCAAATTTTTATAGAATTTAGGCATAACTGCTTTAAGATTAACATGGTTAAAATCACCTGCTACAATGACTACACCGTCCGGGTGCGCCGTCAGCTGTTTGTTGATGTCATCATGTAGCTTTTCCAGTGCTAATTTAGCGTTAGCTTGGGGGGAATGTAGACTGCAATCAGTATTATTGTTGTAAATTCTCTCGGTAACAAGAAAGGTCTGCACCTTACCGTTAATGCCTCCAAGTTTGGGCAGCAATGTTTACTAACAATGTCCGCTGCTGTGCACCAGCTGTTGTTTACGTCAGTGGTTCTCAAACTTTTTTCAATAATGTACCCCCTTTGAAAAAGAAATTCAGCCAAGTACCCCCTGATCAGCGCAAACATATTGTTAGGGAACAAATGCCAATATAAAGAGGTACAATACAGCGCTGTACCATCAGTGTCTGATTTATTAAAACAACAACCTTGTAACAGAGAAACACTTAAATGCTACATTTCAAATGTTTACAATCCATTACTAAATTCATGGCACACCAATTTTAACATCATGCAATAACACTAAGACGACATTAGTTGCATTGAACTGATCTTTTTAATAAGTTGTACTTACAATCTAGTGAGAAACATGGGCTTGTGCTTCACTGAGGATCTTTGTCATTCTGACAGGGAGGCAAACTGCAGTTATTACACTTCGTGTTTTTGAAATATGTACAACTCTAGTCTATTAATATAAAACCCACACTGCTCAAACTTCGTTACTTTTCCTAAAATTTGTATATGTACCTATTTTTTATTTATTTTTTCATTAACATAAACAAAATCTCACGTACCCCCTGCAGTACTCCAACGTACCCCTATTTGAGAACCACTGGATTAGACCACCAACAAAAAAAAAAAAGAATTATTATTTTTTTATGAGATCCANTGAATGCCGTGAATACACCGAAATACACGTGTTGAGGTGGATCGCTGCTGATTACAACGCGCGGGCCGAATATTCGCTGCTGATTACTACCGAATATCCGGAGCCGGATATTCGGTAGTAATCAGCAGCGAATATTCGGCCCGCGCGTTGTAATCAGCAGCGATCCACCTCAACACGTGTATTTCGGTGTATTCACGGCATTCATTTTGTTATTCTACAGTATTGTTGTTTTATAGTTATTTGTTTATGTAAATAACCCAATTTGTGTTCTTTGAAACTGAAAAGGATATCGCATTGTGTTTGTTACTTTCGTTGCAGTTGTATATTTGGTTATATATTTGTTTATATTTGTACATTTGGCTTGGCTTCCTATTTATGGACATGCTTTTATTTCGAAGGAGAGGTAGCGCTTTTGACAGGAAGTTGTTGTTGCTATGGAAACAACGTGACGGAGATTAACGGAGAAAAGTCATATCTACATATAAAGACGGAGAAAGTAAATTCTAACGTTTATGGTTAAGTGTTAGCACCCCCCGAAGAGGCACAAGCTCTTACGTTGATATTGGAGATTTCAATAAATTCAATTATTTAAAAAAAACGAAAAAAAACAAATAACAAAATTGAAACCCGAATAGTACTCCAATGAGCGAATATTCAGATATTCGGGTACAGCCCTAATATATGGATTGTTGTGTTGTTCTTAATGTGTGCATATGTATAAATG